ACACGGGGTTAAAGTCTCCTTAAATGACTCCAGTAGCTCCTTAAATTTTTTCATATTTACATTTGACAGTTACTTGTTCTGGGTCTATTCTACCCATGAGATCACAAGCTCTGTGAGAGGAGAGATCGTGCTTGTCTCATTCACAGCTGTATCATTGCTTGGCAAAGTACTTGATATATAATAAGCACTGACTAGACATTTGTTGAATATTTGGATAAAAGGTTAGTTCTCTGGCTAAATGAATGAATGGATGAGTGAGTGGATAATCAGACCCCAAGAACCAAACCTCTTAACCAATATTGATTTTTTTATTGAGATATAATTGACATATTACATTGTACTAGTTTTAGGTATACGACATAATGATTTGATATATGTATATATTGTGAAATGATTATGCAATAAGTTTAGTTAACATCCATCACCACACAGTTACACATTTTTTTCTTGTGATGAGAACTTAAGATCTCTCTTAGCAACTTTCAAATATACAACACAGTATTGTCAACTGTAGTCACCATGCTGTGTATCACATCTCCAGGACTTATTTATCTTATAAGTTGGGAAGTTTGTACCTTTTGAGCACCTTCACCCGTTTTGCCCACCCCTGTCAACCACCAGTCTGTTTTCTGTATGAGAGGTTATTTTTTGCTTATTTTTTTAGATTCCACATATGAGATCATACAGTATTTCTCTTTTTCTGAATTTCACTTACCATGATACATTCAGTGTCCATCGGTATTGTCACAAATGGCAGGATTTCCTATTCTATGGCAAATCACACACACACACACACACACATGCACAACACACACACCATGTACCACATTGTCTTTATACATTCATCTGTCAGTGAATGCTTTGGTTGTTTCCATGTCTTGGTTATTGTAAATAATGCTGCAATGAACATGGGGAGGAGACATCTTTTCAAGATAGTGATTTCGTTTCCTCTGGATGAATACCTAGAAACGGACTTGTCAAATTATATGGTGATTCTATTTTTAATTTTGTGAAGAACCTCCCTACTGTTTTCATAGTGGCTGCACCAATTTACATCTCACTAAGAGCACACAAGTGTTTTCTTGTCTCCACATCCTTGCCAACACTTGTTATTTCTTGTATTTTTTATAATAACCATTCTAACAGGTTTGAGGTGGTATTTTACCTTGGTTTTGATTTGCATTTCCCTGATGATTAATGATGTTGAGTACCTTTTCATGTATCTGTTGGCCATTGTATATCTTTGGAAAAATGTCTGTTCAGATCATCTGTCCATTGTTTAATGAGGTTGTTTTGCTTTATTTTTTTTTCTGTTGAGTTGTATGAATTATTTATATATTTTGTATAATAACCCCTTGTCAGATATATAATTTGTAAATACTTTCTCCCATTCTGTAGGTTGCCTTTTATTTTGTTGATGGTTTCCTTTGCTGTACAGAAGCTTTTTAGTTTGCTATAGTCCTAGTTGTTTATTTTAGCTTTTGTTGTCTTTGCTTTTGATGTCAAATCCAAAAATTAATTGTCAAGACCAATGTCAAGGAGCTTACCACCTATGTTCTAGGAATTTTATGGGTTCAGGTCTTATGTTCAAGTTTTAATCCATTTTTAGTTTATTTTTGTGTATGGTGTAAGATAGGGGTCCAGTTTCATTCATTTGCATGTAGCTGTCCAGTTTTCTCAACACCATTTATTGAAGAGACTATCCTTTTCTCATTTTATATTCTTGGCTTTTTTTTCTTGTAAATTAATTGACCACATATATGTGGGTTTATTTATCTGCTCTATTTTGTTGCATCGATCTATGTGTCTGTTTTTATGCCTGTACCATACTGGTTTGATTATTATTGCTTTGTAATATAGTTTGATATCAGGAAGTGTGATGCCTCCAGCTTTGTTCTTCTTTCTTAAGATTGCTTTGGTTATTCAGTGTCTTTATTTGTGGTCATGATTGATTTATCGAAACTCAGTCATTAACATCCATGCCCTCCACTCAAAGCAAGGCCTTCACTCACTGCTTGTTGGGCTTTAACTTGATACGCATTTCCAGCCATCTCAGGTACTGAGTTTGCAAGTACCCCTCACCCTAATAAGAGAAAGGAGAAAAAGAATTACCGACAGGTCATATGGTGACTCCAGTGTAAAGAAGAAACATTTTATAGCCTGAATGCAGGAAGGAAAAGAAAAAAGGACAAAAATGTTTAAAAACAGCAGTAAAAAGCAGATTGGGGTATATAGCCCAATATCTACTCCAACAAGCCCCATAAGTATCGCCAGATCTTAATTGTTTATGACGACAGAAAAGGCTAAAAAGGCATGTTCTTTTTATTCCAGAATACCAAGTCTTCCCTGTGTATTAAATGTAGCTAATTGTAGTTTATACTGTTAATTGAATTTTTAGCAGGCAGATTCTCATTCAAAATAAATAAAGCAGGTTCAAGGGGCAAACCTACTTGGCTCATAGCGTTAGTCCATAACAGATAAGAATGCCTGACTGAAATCAATCACACAATGCCAGTTAACTTAGCTCCCAGCAAGAGACTGTTCACATACTTGGTGAAATTGGCTTTGGCCCTGCCAAAGTAGATAGCCTCCTAAAGTGGAAATTCAAACAAATGATTAGTTTTTGCTGGTAGCAACGCACCTTTTTAGAAAATATTTTTTGGAAACATAAGCAAATTGCAAACACACTTGAAGCCACAATCTGGTACCAGTCATATGATAACTCAATCTGAATGGAATTTAACACTTACTGCCTCACCATCACGGGCAATAAATTTAAATCTTGATGTGGCTGGGAATGCAAAGTGATAGAGCCACTTTAGAAAAGAATTTGGCAGTGTCTTATAAAGTTTAACATTTATTTACCTTAAACCCAGCAACACCACTCTCTTAGCTTGTTTCGGCATCTTTGCTCTGGGTGCCCATGTGCCCTTTTCTCGATGCTGCGTGTGGCTTTCTTATAAGGCTACCACTCCTATTGGATTAGGGCCTCACACTTAAGACCACATTTAACTTGAGCTACCTAATGAAAGCCTTATCACTAAGTACAGTCACATTAGGGGTTAGGGTTTTAACATGAACTTGGGCTGGGGGGTGGGGGAAAGGACAAAGTTCAGCCCAGAGTACACTCAAGTATCTATCCAAGAGTAATGAAAACTTGTATCACACAAAAGCATACACATCAGTGTTATAGTAGCTTTTCTCATAATCACAAACACCAAACACTGGAAACAACCCAGATGTTTTTAACTGGTAAATGGATACATGTTGGGACTTTCATGCAGTAGCTATGACTTACCAATAAAAGAACAAAGAACTGACACATGCAGCAACTTGGATGAATCTGAAAGGCATGTTAAGTCGAATGAAGCCAGAATCAAAGTCTACATAGTGTATGATTACATTTACGCGGCATTTTGGAAAAGAGGGGTAGCTGGGGACAGAAAACTGATCAGTAGTTGCCAGGGGATGTGTGAGGAGGGGTTTATACTGCAAAGGGACACTGGGAAACAGGTTGATGGAAATGTATATGTTGATTGTGGTAGACATTTCTTTTTAAAAATTCATAGAAGTGTACACGTAAAATAGTTTTACTGCATGCAAATTTTACCTCAATGAATCTGACAGAAGGATACCTGAAAAAATTAATTTGCCACATACATTTTGATAAAATACTAAATCAAGAAAGGACTTTCAAGCACAAAACATTAGGATAAAACTTCGTTGGGATAGAATGGGAATATGAGGTAAAGAAGAAAAAGGAATGATATAAAATTTCTAGTTAAAAGTTTTGTAAGTGTATTTTTAAAGTGGATTATAGTGTCAAATTGCTAATATTTAGAGTCTGCTGACTTTGAAAATAGACATTAACAAGCAGCATATTTTAATAAAATACATATTTGATGTTTTATGACCCATCAATTTTACTTCAGTTACATTGTTTTACTAAAAACAGTAAAGAGAATTTTATCTCAAAAACAATTCAAATTTTTTTTGATGATGGAAACAAAAATAAGCAATATTTTAAAATTTAGTATTCCTCACCTAAGTACAGGAATATCTTATAAGCTTATTTACAAATATTTATAAAGCAGTTGTAGTCAACTTCTGTTCTTGTCCTTCCTTGATCACCTTAAATCAGCATTGATAGAGCAAATCCTACCCTAATTACTGTGACTTTTTTTTACAGGGTTTACGACTAGGGTTTCATGGTCTCTCCAAATTGTTCCTGAAGCATCTTGTTATCTTTCCGGTGTTCCTTCTCTCCTACCTCCAGGTTTCCTCCCCATCTTCCCTACTCCTATTAAAGCTTAAAAAACTTGCTTTTGTCCCAATATTTCTTCTCGGTTTATTTTACGAGCCTCACTGAGCAATGCCTTTTGGCTTCTCAAGCATGAAAATATTTTATACTATACCTATTTATAAATGAAAGATTGGAGATAAAGTGATCCGAGCCTTTATATATGAAAAGAAAGCAAAATAAAAGAATAAAGGTAAGCCAATTGGGTGATTGAGGATAATACAAATAAAGACACTGACAGCGAATGTATGTATACTGGCCCAACGGTGGGAGAAGAAATTACTGCTTTAAAAAAATCAATAATTATGTTAAAGACGCAAGTAAAATTTAACTTAGTAAAGAACTAGAAATTAGGAGCGACGCTGAAAATGAACTTCGGCGGACAGCCCCTTTGAAATCCTTATTTTGCCGATAAGAACACAGAGGTGATGGGGATTCCTTCTCGGGACATCTTGGACATTCAACCTGCACATGAAACTAATGTGTTTTGGATGTTTTTCTTCACTAGAGCCCGGCTGGATGGTCTTAGGACGGAGCGCTACTTAAAATGTAGAGAAGCCGCTTTTATTTCAGCCCAGAGAGAGACTACAAGAGTTCATTTAAAAAATTTTTTTAATTAATGGTTTTTGATCCCCCTGGGCCTCCGGCCCGGACTACATTTCCCATCAGGCCGTGCTCAGAACTACGGGTGCCTGCGTGAAGCCAAGCGTTGTTAGCGGCAGCGCAGTCGCTGTATAAGCGGCCGACGGGCGGGCGCTTCGCGGTTTGAATGGCTACGGGCCCGAACCCTCAGCTCACCTGAGGACCGGCCGGCCAGGGGTGCGCTATGCCATCGGGAGGCGACCAATCGCCGCCGCCCCCGCCACCCCCTCCGGCTGCTGCAGCCTCTGAGGAGGAGG